ACATCAAAACTAAATTATGTACAGGGGGTAAGTGGGGTGGCAACTATTATTGGTTGAGCAAAAGAATTGGCAAGTGGTAGGCGTTGTAAATAGCCGCTTCGCAGAAATAAACAATAATATTGGGTAGTTAACAAGTTTTGGTGGTCTATCGTGTACAAACATAGACATACAGGCTGATGATAATAATAATGGTGTTCTGATACATTTCCAAGAAGTGGTTTCTCGAAATTTGCGTAATTTGATAATTACACTACAACATTGAATGTTCTCGTCACTTTCAAGTTGTCTTCGTTTAGTAAAACAACTGTCCCAATTTTAATGTTGGTTGTTCCACCACTATGTCAATTTTTTCCAACGGTTAATTCGTGAAGATATTCCTTGTGCCAACGACTCCAGAAATTCTGACGCTTCTTTTTACGAATGTTGCTAAGTGGATAGGCGATTGCATGGAATTTCGGTGTAATTATTCTCAGGAATACTTGTAAGCGGCTCTTCAATAAGGAAATGATTAGGCGTTAAGGCTAAGAGATCAGTAGGATCTGATGACAGGGGTATTATAGGTCGGAAGTTTAATATGACTTCTATTTCAGCACATACGGTTGACAATGCTTCGTAAGATAGTAATGTTTTGCCAACGCCTCGAACTAAATGTGTTTTAAACTATTTAACCCCGGTCACCCAAAGGCCACCACGGTGAGGGGCTCGTGGAGGAATTAAGTGCCAGTTAATATTTTGATTAGTTAAAAATTCATTAATGGGTTTAGGATTGTTAGTTTCAGGAATTTCTTTGTATAATTCGTTTAGTGCACCTTTAGCAACAACAAAATTTTTTGCATTATCCGAATATATATCTGCAGATATGCTCCTACGGGCAAAGAATCTGTGCAAAGTGGCCAAAACGCTTCTATAGTTAGATCACTAACCATTTCGATGCGCATAGCTTTAGTTACAAGACAAACGAAGATAGCAACATATACTTTAACCCTTCCGCGATTTCTGAAATGTCTTTCCTTAACAAAGAATGGACCACAATAATCAATTCCAGTACGCAGAAATGGTCTTTTAAATGTAACTCGATGTTTTGATAACGGTGCCATGATAAACGCTAAAATCGCTTGAACACCACTGTGTAAATTTCTGACATGAACTTCGCGAATAATTAAATTGGATACATGATGATTGCGTGGCATCAAAATGGGATGTTTCACGATAAGTTTGGATGAATAAGTGGACCTCCTACCCTTAAAATACATTGACTATCAACAACGGATTAAGCAATGATAAATTCCCTTTTGGCACCTTTTGAGTTCGTTGAAAAAAAATAATCAGCATCGTGTTGTACAACGTGAATTATTTTCCTGGTTGCGATTCTCAATTCAGAAATAGTAAGATTGCATGATAATTTGTTTTTTTTTTTTGTTTTTAATGTTATGAATGAATCTCAAGCAGTAGGCCGATACACGCTTTAAACGAAGGAAAAATGAAAATCTCAAAAATATTGTAAGAGAATTTAAGTAAATGAAAAGTAAAGTATATTTTAAGAAAGGTATTTTAATTCACAAACTGCTGAACAACGCAAGGAACAATATATGAATGCCTATTATATTCTTTTTCTTACATTCGTTACTCATGGTTTACATATACACTTTTGTCTAAGATAAACAACGTGTTATTTTATTGCTTAGTCTAGCCTCCGCTATCGGTTTCACATCAGACCGCCGCTGACCACGTCACCGCTCCTACATTCGGCCTTCCTGTTTAAGGGACTGGAGAGCCTGATTCTGCAACTAAAAGTACATATGTTCTTTACTAATAAGTTAAACCTTTGCTCGGGGCTGTGGCCCCTGAATTTATTAAAATTCCATTGTTTGAGCCAACCCCCTAAGTTCCTGAGAACTCCTTGTTTTCGGCCTTCGCCCTAAGTTCCTGAGAATTCCTTGTTTGGGCCTTCGCCCTAAGTTCCTGAGAACTCCTTGTTTGGGCCTTCGTCCTAAGTTCCTGAGAACTCCTTGTTTGGGCCTTCGCCCTAAGTTCCTGAGAACTCCTTGTTTGGGCCTTCGCCCTAAGTTTCCGAGAACTCCTTGTTTGGGCCTTCGCCCTAAGTTCCTGAGAACTCCTTGTTTGGGCCTTCGGCCTAAGTTGCACCTGTAAACACCATCTAGCCACTCTTGGAATTAGGTCTTTCTTTACAAATGTAGTTCTTAAAGCGTTACAGTCAGTGATGACCTTAAAATTGATACCAATCAAATAAACCCTGAAGTATTGCAACGCCAGAACTGCAGCCAACGTCTCAAGTTCATATGAGTGATACATGCGCTGTTGTTGGGAAGTTTGTTTGCTAAAGTAGCTTATCACTCGCTTTTATTTATTCTTAAACTGTATTAGGACGCCACCAACTCCCATTGAGCTGGCGTCTGTGTGTCGTTCTGTGTGTAGCTCGGGAGCGAAAATTGCCAATAAAGGTTTTGTCGTCAATATCTGTTTGACCTTTTCAACAGCGTTAGATTGCTCCCCACCCCAATGCCATGGGACATTTTTTCTTTAGTAGGCGCTTTAATGGTTCGACCATCGACGCATAGTCACAGATGAACTTTTGGAAATATCCTCCTAGTCCTAAAAACTGACGGATTTCCTTAAAATTTCTTGGTTCCGGTATGTTCAGAATGGCTTCTATTTTTCTTGAGCCGGGGGTCACGCCCTGGCTGCTTACTTCTCGACCAAGGTATTCGATTTTTGTTTGGAAGAAATAGCATTTACTCAACTTCAGCGTCAAGTTGTACTTCTTCAATCTATTTAATACCTTTCGCAAACGTTCCATTCCTTCTTCTATCGAAACAGACGGAATTATAATATCCTCTATGTATGGAAAAGTGATCTCATTTCGTAAATTCCCCAGAACATTGTTGGAAAATGCCGGCGCATTTGTGAGTCCGAAGGGCAATCTCAGAAATTCATAATGCCCATTAAGGCGTTACAAAGGCCGTTTTATTGATGGAGTCTTTGGGCATTGGTACTTGATAGTATCCCGATGCTAGGTCTGGTCCACAAAGGAACATGTTTTTGCCCAGCCTGTCGATCTGGTCTTCTATTAAGGGTAAGGGATAGTTATCCTTTACATTAATAGCGTTCAACTTACGAAAGTCTATACACATTCGATAGTCGCTTGTTTTTTTCTTGACCAATAGCACCGGACTAGCATACGGTGATTCAGAAGGTCTTATAATCTCATTTTCCAACAGCTCTTCGATCATGGGTTTTAAAATCTGTTTCTCTCCAATTGATAGACGATACGGATGATAAGTAACTGGTTCGTGAGTAATTAACTTTATCTGCATTTCTACTGCGTTGGTTTTGCCGATGTCTTTTAGAGTGAACGAAATGCATTTCTTGTATTCACAAAGTAATTGAAACAGCCTATGCTTATCTTGATCAGATACGGTTCCGACTTGAATTTTGTCCAGTTCTAACCTGTCATCCTGACTGAATTCAATGGCGTTTATCATACAATGACACTACGTTTCGAATTTTCTTAAGCCCTACGTGAGTCTGTCCTATGTAATCCATTCCAATGATCAAATCCTGCGTCAAAAACTCATCGTCCAAAATGATAGCGTTCGCCGACGCTATCACTCCTTCAATTGTAACGGTTGCGGCCGCTGATAAATCAGTAGTAATAATGCCTCCCATAAAGTTTTTCAAAGAACGTGCCGCTCCGCTTTTAATTTGTAATCCTAATTTTCGCGCGACGCTTTCTTTCATTAGAGTACACGAGATGCACAAACCGTGTTTTGAAGATTTACAACCGATCTCGCTTATTGACTCTGCGCTGGCGGTTTGTTTAATTTTTGTCTTACCTTTGTTAGGACATTGGTCTTGAAAATGACCCAGTTTATGCACAATCGACAAAGAATGCGGGGTTTCTTGCATCTAGCTGCTTTGTGGTTGCCGCCTCAAGTAAAACACGCTATACGTTTTTCAGCAAATGTCCATTCCTTAAACCGTTTCTGAATTCCAACTCCATCTTTGGCAATTGTAGCAGGAATATGCCCTTTTGATGTTGAAGGGCCAGTGAGACGAACGCCCGCAGTTTGAATGTAACTTCGATAGTTTGCTAATTCGCCAACCGTTTTAAAATTAGCGGCTCTAGTTGTCATAGCTATAGCTTCGTCCGGAATACTTTCAATTACGCTGTCTATTAATTGCTCGGGTGAAATTTTCAAACGTCATCTATTCAATTTAGCAACCATAGGAAAAATCTCCCAAATTTTGACCCGGTGTGAGTTTGTAAAGCGCCGCGTCAATTAAAAGCTTGCCAAATCGTTCTTGTGGGGGAAAGTTTTGGGGCATTTGGTTTTTAAATTCTTTCCATGATACGCATAGTGACTTTAATGAATCGTAACATTTTCACGCGTCTCCTTTTAATCGGTTCGCAGCAAACTTAATGACCAACACATCTTCCCATTTATGAAACCTTTTCAGTTCGTCTACTTTTCGCACCCAATCTGACGCGTCAAAAGAGTTCGCACTTGGATCGAAAACGGGTTATAGAGTTTCATTCACGAATACACTCGTCGGAAGAACGGAAACAAAAGGAGTACTCACCTTTTGGTTAAGTGCATCTACTTGTTTCCGAAGATCACGAATTATCTTTTTCTGTTTACGAGCTCTTCTATTATTGGTGGTAGTAGATTGGAGGCTAATAACGGCGCGTTTTTCTGGAATTTCGTCTTTGCAAAGGTAGGTTTCATATCAATTATATTCACTTTGCTGAAGCCATTTTGGACCAGATTGCCACAGGGTAGATGATAACACGGGTCAACACGAATTTTGAGTCTGCGTTCTGTACCTCTGATTTTGATTACTTATGCCTAACTAATTAAAGAAAAAATATTTTTATCTATTAAAGTTTGCTTTTGTAGTTACTACAACGAGATTTATTTTTTATGAAAGAGCTCTATTTTTTAATTTCAATTATTACATGTAAAAGGAAAACAGTTTTGAATTCACATTTTTTTATTGACTTTAATTATACAAGACGGCATATATAAACCCACAAATACAAAAAATAATACAAATAAGACTTTAAAAATGAACAGACTTGGTATTTCTTCTGTGTAAGTTGGAACTTTTTCGTATGAGCCCCCAAATGTAGTCACCCATCATGTTTTCATTATATTGTCCTTGATAACGCTTTTCAAAGTTCATTACATCTTGGTGGAAACGTTCCCCTTGCTCTTCCGAATATGCACCTAAGTTGTCTTTAAAGTTATCCAAATGAGCATGTATCATGTGGACTTTCAATGACATTCTGCAACCCATAACTTTGAAGTTGTGAAGCATATCAGTAATAAGCTCCGTGTAATTCTCTGCCCTTCTGTTGCCAAGAAAGCCATTAATCACTGCTTTAAGGCTGAGCCACGCTTGTTTTTCGTGGGTACTGAGGAGCTGTAGGAATTGTTCACTGGCCATTATTTTCTTTATTTGTGGACCAATGAAAATACCAGCTTTAATTTTAGCCTCTGACAATTTCGGGAAAAATGATTTTAAATATTGAAAGGCCTCAGAGTCTTGACGCAGAGCCTTTACGAACTGCTTCATCAGACCTAATTTAATGTGCAATGGAGGCATTAAAATATGATCGGGCTTCACAATCGGTTCATTTTTGACATTATGTTGTCCTATTTGAAACTCGCTCCGTTGTGGCCATGAGTGCTGCTGGTAGTGAAGTGCATCGGCTCTACTGTCCCATAAACAAATGTAACACGGATATTTAGTGTACCCGCCTTGCATTCCCATCAGAAATCCAACCATTTTGAAATCTCCTATCACTGGCCAGGCGTACTCTTCATATTTTAAAACTTGTAGCAACATTTTAACGCTCTCGTAATTTTCTTTAAGCATTACAGAATGAGCAAGGGGAAGAGATGGAAATTTATTTCCATTGTGAAGAAGAACTGCCTTTAAGCTTCTTGTAGAGCTGTCGATGAAAAGACGCCATTCAGAGGGAATGCAAGGGATTCCAATTGCTTCAAACAAACCTTTCACATCATTGCAATAACAAAGTCCGTCTTCTTTTGTAAAGAATCCAGAAAATGTTTTATGACGTGTTCTTTGGTCACTTATTTTAACATCGCTCTTGAGCAAATTCCATTGTTTTAGTCGTGAAGCTAATATTTCTGCTTTAAGTTTAGGTAGATTTAAATCTCTTACTAAGTCATCAAACTCTTCTGAATTAATTAGATGTGGTTCAACAGATGGTGATGTGATCACGAACTCGCTGTCTCCGCTATTACTAGATATTTGTGATAGCGGTAACTCCTCTTCTGCCTTCGGCTTTGGGTTCGAAGGCACAGGGAAGTTTTCACTGTGGGGTACTGGAGCAGACGTTGATGGTAGGTTTGGGTATTCAATCTTTTTGGCATTTTTACCAGCGCGACGCTTACTTGGATTTACTACACAAAAATAACAATCATGGATATGGTCAGTTGGTTCCCTCCATATTCTTGGTACAGCAAACTTCATACTTTTTTTTTCTCCACGGTACCAGGCTGAAAAAAAATTGACATTATTTAATAACGAATGACACATTTAATGTGTGTCAGAATAGGTATAGTTATACGTATATATAAATTTTAATGAAAAGTATGATGTATTTTCTTACCCTCTAAAGTATTTTTGCAGTTACTACATGAGAAATGAGGTGCCCATACTTTATCTTGACTTCGCACGGGTAAATTAAAATAAGCTTCATAGGCTTCACAAAGTCTTGTATTTGACGACAAACAAATTTTTTTGGCTCTCACTTTAATGAATTCGCCGCAAATATAACAAAAAGAGTCCACGGGATTTTTGCACTTTTTGGAAGACATTTTAGGCCTCCCGACACATAAAATACGTTATTCCTTTGCAAAGCGCACGCGCACACTGCCGTTGACAGTTTGTCACTCCCGCTACACACCTACAGCCCCCCCTGCCCCTCTACTGTATCTTCTATGCAACGGCTCCTAAAAAAACTGCTAAAACACTATAATATTCGTTTTACATTGTGTAAAGGTACAAAAGCAAACTTTATTTATTATAAATAGAGTTTCTGCTTCTTTTTCGATGTATACAATCAGAAAATATTCACTAAATAACAGACTCAAAGAAAAATATTTTTTTTTGTTGACTTGTGTAATAATTCAGATGGATTTAAATCTCGCGATACCAGATGAGCAGGGTAATCGCTTGACGCGATGTGTCTCCAATTATGTGTAATCGCTAGTGCCTGAATTTCGGCAACGCTATTCGCGACAAATGTTTGTAAGCTGTGTGGGCTTCTGGTCAGTATTCTGTCGAAACTGCCAGACGCGGATCGTGATGTCGATCTTGTTGGATCTCATCAGCGCATCGCAGATAGTTTCGACAGAAAACAGACCAACTTTTGAACCAGGTTGCTTACAGATTCGGCCACGCTACTTTGCGGATTACCCCCAATCTGCCCTGTAAATACAGATATTGCATGTTTCGTTAAGGTTGTTGTTTAGCGTACATATGGATATGGATTTGAATACATCTCATGTACAATTACGTCTAAGCTTTGTTCATGTGCATCGCATCGTGACAGTGTACTCATGATATTTTTTGGGTGTAGCATGTTTCGGGTGTGTGGTATGCACTTTATTGTATGCATACCCTTCCCACCATATATGATTTCGACGCAATTTACCACTTGTACTTACTCATTTTCAGTAAAGGTTATCCATGGCTGTATATTATCAATGCTCACTACTGTGCGCTGCCGCATTTTACCCCTCAGATCTTCTACCTCGTAATGAGCATTCGGCAAGGTCGCTACGATTCTAAAAGGGCCCTTGTATTTTGGAAACAGATTCTTGCTGTCTCCAGTTGACGGAATACTGGAGACCTTCACCAATACTAACGTCCCAGTTCAGTATTTAAGAACCTTTACTCCTTTACTGTCGAATTTTTGTTTTTGTCTGTGTTGATCTTCATCAGTTGCTATAGCACCGAGGAGTGGACCCTCAGGCAAGGAACGATGTGTAGTTCCGAACAATAATTCGGAGGGTGCCATACCAATGGTTTGATTCAAAATATTATTCAGGCCTCTCTGTACCGTTTTGATTTGATTGTCCCAGGAATCATCTTCGCTTCTCCCATTGAGGGCTGCAAGAGAGCTTAATATGGTTCTATTAAAGCGTTCACATTGACCATTAGCACGTGGGTGGCGACGGCATTCAATTCCATGACTACAGCCGTAGCTCTTAAACGTTGTTGACGTGAAGGCAGTACCTTGGTCCGATATAATACGCGCTGGTACCCTGAATATGTCAATCAGATGGTTCAAGGCCTTAATGACATATTTTGTTTTGCGTTCTTTGCCCCTTCTATTAAAAAAAATTTTGTAAATCCATCCACGATGCTTAGTAACTGTGTATTTCCCATTTGGCTTTTCACAAACAGGTCCATGTGATCTATGTATAGGATGTGGAACGGCACCGCTGTCTTATCATTGCAATGAAGCTTCCCGAGTTTTTTACCAGCTATGGTATATATATATATATCCCCGGGAAATAATAATTTTTCCTGATTTTTGCTAATGTTTTGTCCACTCCGAAATAACCTATGTCATCATGACAGAGTTTGCAAATCTGCCAAGCATTTTGCCGGGGGACTAACCACTTTTTTAATCCGTTTTCTGATTTTTCGTATTTCACAAATTCTTTCGTCTTGTAATTGTGCCGACAATAGGCATTCATCCTCCATTATATTTACAATGCTTAATGATACTTTTGATGGATTGCGACTGAGGCAGTCAACGTGGTTCATTTTTATGCCTGGACGATATTAAAACCTTAAAGTTGTAGTCTTGAAGCTCAAACCACCACCGCGCTACACGCGGAAGTATATCCTTCCTTTCAACTGTACTTCTAATATTGTTGCAATCTGTTACAAGGGTAAATTGTGTACCGACCAAGTACACGCGAAACTGACGGAAGCATCTCGTACAGCTAAAGTTTCCAGTTAATAAGAGTGATAATTCCGTTCTGTTAAGGTGGTTTGGCGGCTAAAGTATGCTACCGCGTGTTGTTTACCTGTTTGTCTATCAGTTGGAAGTATTACTTCCGGATCGAAGATTTGTAAGATTGGTCTATTCACTAATGATTTCTTTAATTCATTCATAGCTTTGATTTGGTCTTTTTCGAATTTCTACTGTACGTTTTTCTTGAGACGTGAAAGTTTTTTATTTAATATTAGAAAATATGACATAAGATATTTTTCTTTAGCGAGATTTCCCAAAGAATGAATTAATTCCTTCGGTGTTACTATATTGAAATGCATAGGTGCTAGTATATCACTACATAAAAACATATTACACATACATAGTATTTTGAGAATGTTTCTTTAAAATAGAACTTATAAATGTTATTGCTGGGTCCTTCGTGGGATCATATCGCTGGCAGTGAATTTTGCGATATCTCGCAGATTAAGGCGCTGAGCTCCACCAGGTTGCTTACATAGTCCTTGCCGGAAGTGAGCAAACACGCGGTTATAACTGCAACTATTTAACGAGCTCTTCGCCTATTAGTGATTCAGTATGTATAAGTACGTCTACAGCAGGCCTGGGCAAATGGCGGCCCGCGGTAGAATTTTTTCTGGCCCGTGAAGCATTGTATCGTATATATTATTATTAAAAACACAAATATTAGTCTTTGTCTAACATAAATTGGTGCATAAAAAAATTTAGATAAAATATTAAGCAATACTTATACACATTATCAGGGCCGGTGGGAGCCAAAATTTTCTCTTGGACAACCGCTCTTTTCAGCGCCACCTATTC